TGTCTCCGCTGGCCCGCAGTCTTGGAGACACACTCGCCGCATGGCCTGAGAGAGGAGCTCATACCTGGCTCTTCAGGAAGCTACGTCCTACAGAACAGCACACTGGAGGTGCAGAAGGCTGGGGACAGGCTGACCCTTCGCGCTCCCGGACCGCTGGCGGCAGATTTCAGCATCAAGGTGAGGTGGGGGGGGGCATCGTTACTGCTCCAGTGAGGCAGGGGGGAGAGCCAAGGCACACATCACAGAGGCTGCTGGATCTGCTCTTCAGGGCACAGTTCATTTCACAATATTGCACTTGTTACCTTAAATTGTACCTCTGACTTCAGTTGCAGCTGGTCAAGCTGAAAGAGGTAAGAAGGTAAGGAGATCGTTCATTTTACAATATTACAATCGCGGATTTTTCCAAAGAAGAGAAAACGTGCTTTTAAATGACAATAACATTTTTGGTGATGAACAGAGGTGGGTAATTCAGGTTCAGACCGGGATTTTGTTTCAACCAACCAGTTGAGTACTCTGTGACTGTGACTCTTTATGCAACTGGTTAGTTGCAAGAAAATCTTGGTCTGGACTTTTACTCTCTAGACCTGAATCAGCCACCTCTGCTAATGAGTTAAAGGAGATCCTGCTGTGTCCTCTAACTGCATGGAGCAGCCGCCGCCGACAGCTTGCAGTGTCCATGAACGGCCCCCGGGTCCCTCTCCCCCCTGCAGCTGAGGTACAGTGCTCCCCGGAACACCCTGGTCCAGTTCTCCTTCTACCAGCCCATCCGCTACCAGTGGAGGGAGACGGACTTCTTCCCCTGCACCGTGACCTGCGGGGGAGGTGGGTGTCACAAGTTGTCGAGGTGGGGATCACTGGGAGGGGACTTGGGGACCCCAGGCTTTACTGACCCCGTCCACCCCCCCCCCCCCCAGGGTACCAGCTGAACTCAGCCGAGTGCACGGACACCCGGCTGAAGCGGACCATGCCCGACCAGCACTGCCACCTGTACCCGGAGAACAGGAAGCCCAAACCCAAGCTGAGGGAGTGCGGCTCGGATCCCTGCCCCGAAAGGCCGGTCTCGCTGTCTGCAGATGGTCACACTCAGTACTGACATGTGTGCAGGGCTGTTCCGTGTCCTGCCTTCCTGATCCACCCCCAAAGATTATTGTGTCTATGAAGACAGGGTGCCCCCACAGCGATGTTTTGTGACACTCTCTCCCTCCCCTACAGTGATGGCTTCAAGGAGGTGATGCCCTATGACCAGTTTCAGCCCCTCCCCCGGTGAGTTGCTTCAACACCATGGAACCATCTCTGTCAGACCATCTCTGTAAGACTATCTCTGTAAGACTATCTCTGTTGACTTTGCTCTCTTCTGGACGGGTCTATGAGCCGGATATAAGACTGGGAAGGGAATCTGTGTAAATGGTGCAAAGACAAATGCACTTGGTGGTCTGTACTGAAGCTTAGCCAGGAGTGGGGGTCTGTACTGAAGCTTCTCAGACAGGGCTGGGGGTCTGTACTGAAGCCTCTCAAACAGCACTAAGGGTCTGTGCTGAAACTTTTTAGATAAGACTGGTGGTCTGTATGAGATGGTCATCAGAAAGGGCTGGTGGTCTGTACTGAAGCCCGTCAAACGGTTGGTTTCACACAGGGGTTGTGATCCAAGCTGAAGCATTTCAGACATTACTGAGTACATTACCCTTATCTCCTGCCACAGCTGGGAGCAGAATCCCTGGACGAGCTGCTCGGCATCCTGCAGGGGGGGCACGCAGAGCCGCAGCGTGACCTGCGTCGAGGAGGATGTGCATGGTCTGGTGTCACAGGTCGAGGAGTGGAAGTGCATGCACTCACCCCGGCCTGCCATGCAGCAGGACTGCAACACCTTCGACTGCCCCCACTGGACAGCAATGGAGTGGTCTCAGGTGAGGGTCATGTCCTAAAGCACATGCACTCAGCACCTGCCCCCCCTCCCCCATTCATAAGCATGAACGCCAATCTGAAATTGACCGCTGTCTTGTTTTTCTTACATGCAGTCACCTATGGGTGCCAGAGTGTGGCGCTGTAATGGCTTGTTGGTTTTTCAGTGCACAGTGACCTGTGGGCGTGGCTTGCGTTACAGAGTGGTCCTGTGCCTGGATCACAGAGGGCGGCACGCCGGGGGCTGCGATGCTGGGCGGAAGCCTCACGTCAAAGAGGACTGCCTGGTCCCTGTCGCGTGCTACAGGCCTCGAGGTAGGCCTGGGTTCAGAGGGGCCGGAACTCAAAGCCTCCAGGGAGCCACTGTCTGTTTCACACTATTCAAAGGCCATCCACAGCGAACCATCTGTGACCGTGCGAACCACACACCCCCTTTGATTATATCAACATGAGGTGCACCTGAGGCGTCTCATGCCCTGGGGGACCTTGGTGAGCAGGGCCTGGCCAGCTAGCTGGAGCCAGAACCTCTCATCTCTCTCAGAGACACCCTGAGCCAGAGAGCTACGCTCTCCAGCGGCCACCTGAGAGCGATACACGCTCCAGATGAAGGGTCACAGAGCCCGAGCCGTGTGCTTGATGTTTCCTGCTGAGGTTTGAACTGGAGACACTGGGTGGGGATGATGTTGTCATGCTAATCCTGCAGCCAACCCCCCCCCCCATCCTTTCTTTGCACATTCCCACAGAGACGCAGTACAGCCAAGGGTAGTGTCTGTTTGTAATTAATCAGCTGACTGGCTCAGGAGCCATGGTAATAGGTCATGCACCCAAATGCATTCTGGGACCGTATAAATATTTAGGTGGCATATCTGGTGAATCACCCGGATGGCAGCCTCTGCTGGGTGTGAGAGCAGGTCCTCCATGTCTGTCAGCTACTGTGGGTCTTTCCCTCCTCCCTGAGAGAAACCTGACGGATTACGGAGCGGGGAGGCCTCATGCTAAGGAAAATAATTATCCTGGAAGGGAATCAGCTAGATATTTTGGGGATGCTGCCTATGTCATAACCTCAAATTGCCCCCCGTAGGAGGGGTCGCGTGGAAGGAGACTCATACCACAATGTTGCACAATGTCCCACAAGTGCAGGGCTTCTGCCTTTTCCCCAGACACCTGAGGGCGCCATATGCCTTTGCAGTCTCACCATCACGGTCATTTTCTGGTTTGCTTCAGTCCAAATGCGGTGCTAGTGAGGGGTGTCCTGCAGCCAGCAGCCTCACTGCAGCCTTCTGCTTTTCAGAGAAGCTTCCTGTAGAGGCGAAGTCACCCTGGCAGAAGCAGGCCCAGGAGCTGGAGGTGTCCCGGACCGCCTCCGAAGAGCCCACGTGAGTGTCCCACGCCTGTCCCACGCCGCCGTGTCCCGTGTGTCCCATGTCGCGTCCTGCCCGTCCCACGCCGCGTCCCGCCCGTCCCACGCCGTCGCGTCCCGCCCGTCCCACGCCGTCGCGTCCCGCCCATCCCACGCCGCGTCCCGCCTGTCCCACGCCGCCGTGTCCCGTGTGTCCCATGTCGCGTCCTGCCCGTCCCACGTCGCGTCCCGCCCGTCCCACGTCGCGTCCCGCCCATCCCACGCCGTCGCGTCCCGCCTATCCCACGCCGCGTCCCGCCTGTCCCACGCCGCCATGTCCCGTGTGTCCCATGTCGCGTCCTGCCCGTCCCACGTCGCGTCCCACCTGTCCCACGCCGTCGCGTCCCACCTGTCCCACGCCGTCGC